TGTTGTGACTCTATGATGTCTGTTTGTTGTGACTCTATGATGTCTGCTTGTTGTGACTCGATGTCTGCTTGTTGTGACTCTATGATGTCTGTTGTGACTCTATGTTGTCTGCTTGTTGTGACTCGATGTCTGCTTGTTGTGACTCTATGATGTCTGTTGTGACTCTATGTTGTCTGTTTGTTGTGACTCTATGACGTGTATCTGTGTGTCTTACTCAGGGTCCTGTGGTTCCTCCTTTATGTCCCTGAGCTCAGAGTCTTCCTCCAGTTTCACTTCTGCCACGTTCCACTGGGTTAGCTCCTGTTAGCTCCCGTTAGCTCCTGTTAACTCCTGTTAGCTCCCGTTACCCTGTTGTGGCTACACCTCCTGCTGTTATGTTATCAGTCTCTGTAGTTAGCTTTATTAGCTCTCAGTCCCCTCCTGTTAGCTCAATATTATTGTAGATTCATGTGTAACCCCCCTCCCGTTAGCTCTCTGCTGTTAGCTCTCTGCTGTTAGCTCCTTTAGCTCCCTTCGTGCTTGTGGCTCGTGAAGAATCGTGTTTTGTTTCAGGAGCTCCTCGTCCGCAGCTACAGAAACGAACTTGCGCACTAACATGAATGGCGACATCCCTCTGTGGTCGCCATCTTAGGTGTTTCAGCTTGTTCTGTCTCCGGACTCTACAAACTCTAACAGCCAGTGAAGTCAACATACAGCAGCCACAAGGTCAGCACTAGATCATGTACGAAATCTGGACGGAAGCGGAAGTAAAAATAACAAACTACCTATTCATGCCTAAACTTAACCAGACATTCCCATAAAATAACCCCAACCCAGCCTTAAAGAGGCTATATGGAGGTTTCACCACTTATAAAACTATACAGAATTAAAATGTCTTCCACATTCTCCAGCAATGCCTTGGTGTGTAGAATGAGCCCTGGCATTTTCACCGCAATTGCCTCTATATGCCTAAAAACATGTCTTTATATGTGAAGAAGATGACACAGTCTGGGATCGTGTCTTTATGTTTTATTGTCGATGGTAGAAACAGCACGAACAACACGAACAACAGAATGCAAGTGTATTATACAGAGCGGAGGCATGGAGACCTCCAATCAGCAGCTTCCACGGTGTGCTTGTAGCTTGGCCTTCAGATAGACAAAACAAGGGAAAAGTACTGGCTTCTGCACATTGATAGAATGATGAGTTTAACTTTAACAAAAATTGCTTAAAAGTGTTATGAAATCTCACATTCTCCCCTCTGGTCACACATTCACCTGTGACCATCAGGATCGATAAACAGCAACATAACATCATATCTCAATACTTCAAAAACTCATAAACTCGGTACTTCACTCGGTACTCGTGTGGCAGAGTGGAGGCTCCGAAAATAATGACAAATTAAATAAAAGAAAGAAAAACCAGCAACGCCAGGGCAGAGTGCCCAAAATAAAATAAAAAATGCTTTAAGGCGCACAAGTTCGTTAAATCATTAAGAGGCATAGGCAGACAGTCTGTATACTTTGATTTATTATTCTACATTATGTTTAGTTCATTTATAGTCATTCACTAGGTTGTTATGATTCACATCTACTTCACACGAGCCCATCTTCCAGTCACGATGGACTCAGGAGCACAGGTGAACACAAAAAGAAACAGAACAGGGAGAGAAACGAGGGACAGCAGGAGAAACAGCGGTGGGCCGCGATGAGGCCAGTCCTCAGCCTGTGGGTAAAATAGAGTTAACTTACTACGAGTAACCACAATGCTGTTAGTGTGTGCAGCTAGAACCTACTTTCATACAGCACTTGCCGAGCACACACCCTTGACGGGTGACGGTTTAAAGGCCAGACCCACAGCCGGCTACGACACACTCGGACGCCAAAGTGAAAGGACAGCATGGCTACACAGAAGCAGGGCTCGCGGGGCACTACAACAACAGTTAACATTAGCGGTTGCAACATACCAATATTAGAATGAACACTATAACTTCTCTACCTGGAGCAGGAGAAGGGCTGGCCCAACGACCCACAGGAGACGGAAGTGCAGAGGTAAACAAGAGAGGCGACTCGAGGCTATTTATACTGTCCGTATGCGCCCCCTACTGGACAGAAATATGGTGGCCAAGTCCAGCTTGCCACACTAACATGTGTCGACTCAGTTTTTACTTGTAGGTAAGCAACAGCCCCATAGACCCCTTCTCTGATGCATCGTAAAAGACAAGTAATGTGGAACTCTGAGGTTTCTGCACTGTTTGGTTTCTGTAGAACACAGCGTGGACAGTTGAGTACATGAAGAGTCTGTAATTCCTTCTCCCATAATTTCCATTTTTCCTTTAGTTTGTCTGATTGAATTACACTGTCCCATTCTCTTTCTTCTTTCCACAGGTCTTGCACTAGAATCTTTGCACGTGTTGTGAAGGAGATTAAATAACCAAGAGAATCATATTGGCTCGCAAGAATCTTGTAGACATGATTTCGCAGTGTGAGGTCATAAGAAGTGGCTTGTCTGGTTTTGCAGCTCAGGGTATCGGTCAGGCAATTCCACTGTAAGCCCAACGTTAGTCCTGTTGGGTCCAGTTCAGGCAATTCCACTGTAAGCCCAACGTTAGGTCCTGTTGGGTCCAGTTCAGGCAATTCCACTGTAAGCCCAACGTTAGTCCTGTTGGGTCCAGTTCAGGCAATTCCACTGTAAGCCCAACGTTAGTCCTGTTGGGTCTGTTGGGTCCAGTTCAGGCAATTCCACTGTAAGCCCAACGTTAGTCCTGTTGGGTCCAGTTCAGGCAATTCCACTGTAAGCCCAACGTTAGTCCTGTTGGGTCCAGTTCAGGCAATTCCACTGTAAGCCCAACGTTAGTCCTGTTGGGTCCAGTTCAGGCAATTCCACTGTAAGCCCAACGTTAGTCCTGTTGGGTCCAGTTCAGGCAATTCCACTGTAAGCCCAACGTTAGTCCTGTTGGGTCCAGTTCAGGCAATTCCACTGTAAGCCCAACGTTAGTCCTGTTGGGTCCAGTTCAGGCAATTCCACTGTAAGCCCAACGTTAGTCCTGTTGGGTCCAGTTCAGGCAATTCCACTGTAAGCCCAACGTTAGTCCTGTTGGGTCACCGATATCTGAGAGCCACAGTTCAGTAGATTTGGATCTAGCGTCAGGTGGGAGATGTTGTATTACAGTACAATCATTGCTTGCTAGGGTTGCCAACCGTCCCTTGAAATAAGGAATTGTCCCGTATTACAGAAAAACTACGTGCGTCCCATATTGAATCGATACGGCACGACTAAGGAGATGGTACCTGTGCTAACACCAGTGAGACCAAGGAGATGGTACCTGTGCTAACACCAGTGAGACCAAGGAGATGGTACCTGTGCTTGAACACCAGTGAGACTAAGGAGATGGTACCTGTGCTAACACCAGTAAGACTAAGGAGATGGTACCTGTGCTAACACCAGTAAGACTAAGGAGATGGTACCTGTGCTTGAACACCAGTGAGACTAAGGAGATGGTACCTGTGCTAACACCAGTAAGACTAAGGAGATGGTACCTGTGCTAACACCAGTAAGACTAAGGAGATGGTACCTGTGCTTGAACACCAGTAAGACCAAGGAGATGGTACCTGTGCTAACACCAGTAAGACTAAGGAGATGGTACCTGTGCTAACACCAGTAAGACTAAGGAGATGGTACCTGTGCTTGAACACCAGTAAGACCAAGAGGAGATGGTACCTGTGCTAACACCAGTAAGACTAAGGAGATGGTACCTGTGCTAACACCAGTAAGACTAAGGAGATGGTACCTGTGCTTGAACACCAGTAAGACCAAGGAGATGGTACCTGTGCTAACACCAGTAAGACTAAGGAGATGGTACCTGTGCTAACACCAGTAAGACTAAGGAGATGGTACCTGTGCTTGAACACCAGTAAGACCAAGGAGATGGTACCTGTGCTAACACCAGTAAGACTAAGGAGATGGTACCTGTGCTAACACCAGTAAGACTAAGGAGATGGTACCTGTGCTTGAACACCAGTAAGACCAAGGAGATGGTACCTGTGCTAACACCAGTAAGACTAAGGAGATGGTACCTGTGCTAACACCAGTAAGACTAAGGAGATGGTACCTGTGCTTGAACACCAGTAAGACCAAGGAGATGGTACCTGTGCTAACACCAGTAAGACTAAGGAGATGGTACCTGTGCTAACACCAGTAAGACTAAGGAGATGGTACCTGTGCTTGAACACCAGTAAGACCAAGGAGATGGTACCTGTGCTAACACCAGTAAGACTAAGGAGATGGTACCTGTGCTAACACCAGTAAGACTAAGGAGATGGTACCTGTGCTTGAACACCAGTAAGACCAAGGAGATGGTACCTGTGCTAACACCAGTAAGACTAAGGAGATGGTACCTGTGCTAACACCAGTAAGACCAAGGAGATGGTACCTGTGCTTGGATACCTGTGCTAACACCAGTAAGACTAAGGAGATGGTACCTGTGCTAACACCAGTAAGACTAAGGAGATGGTACCTGTGCTTGAACACCAGTAAGACCAAGGAGATGGTACCTGTGCTAACACCAGTAAGACTAAGGAGATGGTACCTGTGCTTGAACACCAGTAAGACCAAGGAGATGGTACCTGTGCTAACACCAGTAAGACCAAGGAGATGGTACCTGTGCTAACACCAGTAAGACTAAGGAGATGGTACCTGTGCTTGAACACCAGTAAGACCAAGGAGATGGTACCTGTGCTAACACCAGTAAGACTAAGGAGATGGTACCTGTGCTAACACCAGTAAGACTAAGGAGATGGTACCTGTGCTTGAACACCAGTAAGACCAAGGAGATGGTACCTGTGCTAACACCAGTAAGACTAAGGAGATGGTACCTGTGCTAACACCAGTAAGACCAAGGAGATACGGCACGGCTTTTGTGCCGTATTTTCAGAGTCGCCTTAAATGCCTCACTCACTGCATGTCACACTCGCGACACACGCACACACAGGAATCACAGTTTAAGCGTCTGCCTCACTCAGACCACACTGGGGCCTCACACTGGGGCCTCACTCAGACCACACTGGGGCCTCACACTGGGGCCTCACTCAGACCACACTGGGCCTCACTCAGACCACACTGGGGCCTCACTCAGACCACACTGGGGCCTCACTCAGACCACACTGGGGCCTCACTCAGACCACACTGGGGCCTCACTCAGACCACACAGGGGCCTCACTCAGACCAAACTGGGGCCTCACACTTGGGCCTCACTCAGACCACACTGGGCCTCACTGGGGCCTCACACTGGGCCTCACTCAGACCACACTGGGGCCTCACTCAGACCACACTGGGCCTCACTGGGGCTCCTCAGACCACACTGGGGCCTCACTTCACTCAGACCACACTGGGCCTCACTCAGACCACACTGGGCCTCACTCAGACCACACTGGGCCTCACTCAGACCACACTGGGCCTCACTCAGACCACACTGGGGCCTCACTCAGACCACACTGGGGCCTCACTCAGACCACACTGGGGCCTCACTCAGACCACACTGGGGCCTCACTCAGACCACACTGGGGCCTCACTCAGACCACACTGGGGCCTCACTCAGACCACACTGGGGCCTCACTCAGACCACACTGGGGCCTCACTCAGACCACACTGGGGCCTCACTCAGACCACACTGGGGCCTCACTCAGACCACACTGGGGCCTCACTCAGACCACACTGGGCCTCACTCAGACCACACTGGGGCCTCACTCAGACCACACTGGGGCCTCACTCAGACCACACTGGGGCCTCACTCAGACCACACTGGGGCCTCACTCAGACCACACTGGGGCCTCACTCAGACCACACTGGGGCCTCACTCAGACCACACTGGGGCCTCACTCAGACCACACTGGGGCCTCACTCAGACCACACTGGGGCCTCACTCAGACCACACTGGGCCACTCACACTGGGGCCTCACTCAGACCACACTGGGGCCTCACTCAGACCACACACTGGGCCTCACTCAGACCACACTGGGGCCTCACTCAGACCACACTGGGGCCTCACTCAGACCACACTGGGGCCTCACTCAGACCACACTGGGCCTCACTCAGACCACACTGGGGCCTCACTCAGACCACACTGGGGCCTCACTCAGACCACACTGGGGCCTCACTCAGACCACACTGGGGCCTCACTCAGACCACACTGGGGCCTCACTCAGACCACACTGGGGCCTCACTCAGACCACACTGGGGCCTCACTCAGACCACACTGGGGCCTCACTCAGACCACACTGGGGCCTCACTCAGACCACACTGGGGCCTCACTCAGACCAAACTGGGGCCTCACACTTGGGCCTCACTCAGACCACACTGGGGCCTCACTCAGACCACACTGGGGCCTCACTCAGACCACACTGGGGCCTCACTCAGACCACACTGGGGCCTCACTCAGACCACACTGGGCCTCACTCAGACCACACTGGGGCCTCACTCAGACCACACTGGGGCCTCACTCAGACCACACTGGGGCCTCACTCAGACCACACTGGGGCCTCACTCAGACCACACTGGGGCCTCACTCAGACCACACTGGGGCCTCACAGCCACTCAGACCACACTGGGCCTCACTCAGACCACACTGGGGCCTCACTCAGACCACACTGGGGCCTCACTCAGACCACACTGGGGCCTCACTCAGACCACACTGGGCCTCCTCAGACACACTGGGCCTCACTCAGACCACACTGGGGCCTCACTCAGACCACACTGGGGCCTCACTCAGACCACACTGGGGCCTCACTCAGACCACACTGGGGCCTCACTCAGACCACACTGGGGCCTCACTCAGACCACACTGGGGCCTCACTCAGACCACACTGGGGCCTCACTCAGACCACACTGGGGCCTCACTCAGACCACACTGGGGCCTCACTCAGACCACACTGGGGCCTCACTCAGACCACACTGGGGCCTCACTCAGACCACACTGGGGCCTCACTCAGACCACACTGGGGCCTCACTCAGACCACACTGGGGCCTCACTCAGACCAACATGGGCCTCACTCAGACCACACTGGGGCCTCACTCAGACCACACTGGGGCCTCACTCAGACCACACTGGGGCCTCACTCAGACCACACTGGGGCCTCACTCAGACCACACTGGGCCTCACTCAGACCACACTGGGGCCTCACTCAGACCACACTGGGGCCTCACTCAGACCACACTGGGGCCTCACTCAGACCACACTGGGGCCTCACTCAGACCACACTGGGCCTCACTCAGACCACACTGGGGCCTCACTCAGACCACACTGGGCCTCACTCAGACCACACTGGGCCTCACTCAGACCACACTGGGGCCTCACTCAGACCACACTGGGGCCTCACTCAGACCACACTGGGGCCTCACTCAGACCACACTGGGGCCTCACTCAGACCACACTGGGGCCTGGCTTTATCACTCAGACCACACTGGGGCTCACTCAGACCACACTGGGGCCACTCTGATTAAAAAAACTCTTTGGACCCCACAAATTCCGGTCGCAGCTGGAAGGAATTTTCTTCTCCCTACGAGGGGGAAAAAAGAAGGGGAAAAAAAAACTCTGGACCCCACAATCGTCGCCAGCTTGGGAAAAAAGGGGTGCTTCCTCTCCCCAGTTTTGGTGGATTTCCATTTTTGTGCTGTTAAAGACTTCCTCTTTTGGGGAAAGGAAAAAAAAAAGACAAAAAAAACCATGTTCCACACTGGTCCACACTACGTTTACGGCTTTCTCTTTTCCCAGTTGTGGCTCCCGGATGGGTTTGGAAGTGTTGCGCTCTTGCTTGCCAAGGTTTTAAAGGGTTTTTACTGGCAGGAAGGGTCACCAATTGCAAAGGGGCTTTTTTCCCCAGTGGTGGGATCCTCTGATTCTGCACTTTTTTGTAGTTTAAAAAAAGCACGAGGGTTTAAACGTCTCCTTCCCAACAGTCTCCACAGGGACGAATGGTTTTATCCTCCAGTGTGGATTTCCTGTAGTGAAACGAAGGTGAGGGTCAGATTTATTTTAAACGTGGTTAAAAAAAAAATAGTCTTTTTCACCAATGGGTTTTTAAACACATTGGTGAGGTTCCCCCTCCTTTTCTCCTGTTGTCTGGAACCATTTTTTTTTTGCTGGTGATGTAGTGAGAGCAAAGCTGTTTGGGTCCAAATAATGTTTTTATCCCACACCCCCACCTGGATCCACCCCCCACCCTTCCAATATGGTTTCCTTTCTCCTTGGTGTGGATTTCCACTTTGGATGATTCTTTTGAGGAGTATTTTCTTCATTGTCTAAAACCTGATCCCCACCAAATTCGTCCGGCCCAGATTTTTGAAAGGGGTTTTTCCTCCACAGTGTGGATTTTTTTCTTTGGGTTTGTGGACCTTTGTAGATCTTTCTTTTTTTCGTAGTAAAAAAAATAACCCCATGTTTCCCCCCACCCCACAGACTTCCCCCCACCCCCCCCCCCCAACTTTCCGTTACTGTGGTTTTTCTCCCCAGTGTGAGTTTCTGTGGTGGTCTTTTCTTTTATTAAGGATCAGGGCAAGGGGCAAGAGCTTGCCGGGGTGGTCTTTTCCCCCCCCCACCCCAAATGTATCAAAAACAAGGTTGTGGTGTGAACCCCACATTCTGGTAGATGGAACTTATTTTGTTAGAAGGATCTGCCAAACCATAAAAAACCCCAACAAAAACATACGTCCCAAGTTAATTTACCTAAATATGTTTGAATTGGGGGTAGAAGTTGGAAGAGAAAAATTGATATTGTTCTCTTTCAAAAAAACAATCAATACATTTCGGGTTTCCTCTTGCAATTAAAAGCTTGGTTGCTCCCCGAAAACCCACCATTGGGGGCTACCCCCACCCCCCCCCCCCACCATGTATTAGGAGCCACTTTCTTTTACCAAAAAACCCTTTCCCCCCAAGTCCCACCTGGGTTCTTGCCAAGGCCTTCCAGTCCTGGGTTCTGTTTACAGGCCTCCAGTTCCCCTGGGTCTGGGGCAGCCCTTCCCAAGTCCTGGGTCTTTAACCACAAAGCCCCTCCCCAAGGTCCCTGGGGTTCTTACAGCCTCAGTCCTGGGGGGGTCTTTTTTAACCCAAAGGGCCTCCGGGTCCCTGGGTTTTATGGCCACTGCCAAAAAGGGCCCAATAGGGGACTTAGTCCCTTGGTTCTTCCCTCCTACAGGCCTCAGTCCTGAAGTCTGCACGCCCCTCAGTTCCCTGGGTCTTACAACCCCTCAATTCCTGGTGGTTTTTCTACCCAAAGCCTTCAAGTTCCCTGGGTCCTTAGCAGGGCCTCCCAGTCCCTGGGGGTCTGCAGCCTCAAAGTACCTGGGTCTGCCCAGGCCTCTAGGGTCCTTGGGTCTACCCAACCCCCTCCAGTCCTGGGTTCTTAACCCAAAAACCTCAGTTCCCTGGGGTCCTAGCCTGCCTTCCCGTCCCTGGGGTTCATGCCAGGCCTTCAGTCTTACCTGGGTCCCTTTTTTTCTAGGCAGCCTTTTTCAGTCCATGGGTCTTGCACAAAGCCTTTCCAAGTACACTGGGGGTCTCACAAAGCCCCCTTTTCCAAATGTCCCTTGGGTATACCCGGCCTCCAGTCCCCCCTGGGTTTCCCTACAGCCTTCAGTCCCCTTGGGTTCTTGGCCCCAGCCCTCAGGTCCTTGGGTTCCTCCTCTTGCCAGTCCTCAAAGGTTTTCCTGGGGTCTTAACCAGGCCATCCCAGTCCCTGGGGTTCTGGTCCGTTTGTTGGCTATCTTGATGGGGAACATGATATAAAAACTATTTTTTGACCGTCATTTAACAATTGGAAAACTCCCTTTCTTAGGAAAAAAACAGAAATTTAGGGAAATTGTGTTAAAACAAAAGTATCTGTGACCATTTAGGGGGTGTGCTTGGGCTGATTAAAAGCGGGACCCCCACGGACGGGAAACACATGTAGGGGGGATTCCAACTGGTGACTTTAATTTCTTTTGCAAGTTACTTGTCATTTATCTCTCTCCTTATTTCCTCCTCACCTCCCGTTTGTTTTGTAGTTTGGGGGAGGAGTAGGGATATAACAAGACAACTTTTGGCTGATAAAAGTTCAACCCCCCCAGTTTTGGATCCTTACCATTGTTGTCGTCGTGGTTCCCTTAATTCAAGGCCCAAAGGGCCACCCACCCCAATATGTTCAGGACTTGGTTTACATTTCCCTATTTCTCTGTTTTTCTTTTTAAAGTTCATCTGTAATATTGAAGTCATGTTTTTATAATTCTGTTTTCAATTTAAAGGCACCTCACCACGGACCAGACCCCAAGGGGGGGGGGGGGGACTTTCTGAGGGCTTTGGTTAGGGAACCCAGGAACCTGAGGCTGCCAAGGACCCCCCAAAGAGCCAGGGACTTGAGGGGGGTGGCCCAGGACCAGGGGGACTGAGGGCTGTAGACCCAGGGACCTTGAGGATGCTTTGTAAGGAAACCCAAAGGGGGGCGACTGAGGCTTGATAGGGCCCCAGGGAAAACCTGATGTGGCTTTGCAGACCAGGGGCGGGACCTGTGGGAGGCTGCAAGACCCCCAGGGGAGGATTTTGAGGCTTGCAGAAACCCCAAGGGAGAACTTGGGAAGGGCTGGGCTTTGGCAAAGACCCAGGGACTTTGGAGGGTTGTTAAGGGGGGACCCAGAGACTGAGGTTTGGTAGAATAAACCCCCCAGGGACTGAGGGATAGCAGGACCCCAGGGGGGACTTGAGGGCTGCAAGGAAACCCAGGCGAAAACTGAGGGCTTTGCCCCCAGGGACCCCCAGGATGGGAAAAGGGCTGTAGACCCACGGGACTGAGGTTTTAGGTTTTGTAAGGACCCAGGGACTGAGGCTGCCCCCAGACTCAGGGGGACTGGAAGGCTGGTAAGACCCACAGGGACTGAGGCTTTTGCCAGACCCAGGAACGGAGGCTGGTAGGGACACAGGGAATGGGAGGGGGCTGTAGGACCCAGGAACTGAGGGCTGTTAGAACCCGAGGGGATGGAGGCTGCAGACCCCAGGACTGAGGGGCTGTTAGGGGGGACCCGGGGACTTGGAGGGCTTTTTTGCAGGACCCCAGGGGGGACTGGGAAAGGTTTGTAGGAAAGTTGGGCTACTTAATACAGGGTTGGTGGGGGTGTAGGGGCCCCATTGGGGTCGGGAAAGGCCAAACCCGGCTTTAAATTGCCAAGAAATATCCCAACTACCCGATTTTTGGATGTTGAAAGGAGGATAAAAACCAATATTTCCATTTCCCTCCATTTCTACCCAACCCATTTTCAAAACCCCCAATATTTTAGGGGGAATTTATCCTGGACCGTTTGTTTGTGGGTTTGTTGCAGCCTGATTCTACCCCAAAAGGTCCATTCTACCAGATATTGGGGTTTTCAACCCCTGTTTGATTTCAAGTTGTGGAAAAGACCCTGCCCCAAGGCTTCGCCTTTTTCTGATCTTAAAAAAGAAGGAACCCCCAACCACCAGAAACTTCACCCAACTGGGGAGGAAAAAAAACCAATTTTTACCCGGTGTGATCTTTGTGTGGGAACCCATGTTTTTTACTACGGAAAAGAGATTCCAAAGGTTCCACCAACAGAATTTTCCCCACCCCACTGGGAGAAAAAAACCTTTTCCCCAGCTTGCGAACGATTGTGAATCAGGAGATTTTAGGGGGGACATTTGAGAATATTTTTTTACCTTTCTTCAAAAAGGATCATCAAGTGAGGATTTCCCACCCCCCCAAAACCAGGGAGGGGGGAGGAAAACCCATTTGGAGTGTGGGACCAGTTGTGAAAAAAAAAAAAACATTTAGGGGGGACCAAAAAAACAAGCTTTTGCTCTTTACCCAAACTACCATACCCCAAATAAGGCCAATGTCCCACAACCCAGGAAAGAGGAGACTTCCCCCACCCAATGTGGAACCCAAGTGTGAAAAGGAAAACCTTTTTATCCACGGTTTTATTTTGAAACTCCCAATCGTCCAAACTACAGAATCCCCACCCCCCCCAAAAGGGAGAATAAAAAAAAAAAAAAACCAAATTCGTCTGTGGAGACTTTGTGGGGAAAAAGACGGGTTTACTCGGGGGCTTTAAAAACTACAAAAAAAAGTGGGATCAGAGGATTTTCCCCCCCCCCTCCCAACTGGAGAGGAGGAAAAAAAAAAGCCCTTTTGGCCATGTGACTTCTTTGCAGGTTTTTTTAAAAACTTTTAAAAAAAAACTGCAGCAGAAAGGGCGCAAAACAACTTTCCATCCATCGGAAAGCCACACATGGAGAGAAGCCGTACCGAAAGTGGTGGACCCCAGGTGTGGAATCCATTTGGTTTTTTTCCCAAAGAGGGAAGTGCTTAAAACCAAAAGCACAAAAAAAAAAAGAATTCCAACCCACTGGGGAGAGAAAGCCTTCACAAAGGACTGGCCACCCACCCCCCCCCCACCCACCCCCCCGGGACGATTTGTGGTTCAGAGTTTTTTTTCTCGAAAGTTGGTCATTCAAAAGATTTTTCAAAATATGGAGGATTCCACCAACGGAGATGAAAATCCTTCCAGCTGCGGTACGATTAGTGGGTTCAGGAGTTTTTTTATCAAGAGTGGTGGATCCTCAAAAGTTTGCATCAAAGGAGGATCCCCACCCATGGAAGGCGGTGGGAGAAAAATACATTTGTTCTGTGGGGAAAAAGGTGTTTTTTTACTCAAAAAGGGATTTTCTCTTTACTATTTACACATAAAACCTGTAGAGAAGCCAAGGGTTCTGGAAAAGGACAGGGTTTTCTGAAGCCCAATATGGGGACCAAAGTGAAAGGGAGAACAGAGCTGAGAGGGCTTGCATCCTTTGTGAAACCCCAGAGTTTTTTCCCAAGACCTTCTGAAACCAGGGATTCTACATTCCAGTCTTTAAACTCCTGGTTTGGGGGAAAAAGAAAAATTTCCCAAATCTGTGTGTTTTCAGTGTTTTTTTCATTTTTCATGTTTGTTTTTTTCATTGTTACGTGTTGTGGGGGACTTCTATGATGTTGGGGTTTTGTTGTTGTTTTTTTCCTGTAATTAAAGGTTTCCTGTGTCCTGTTTTTTTCAAAAGGATTTCCCAGTTATTTGGCACTTCCCCTTCTTCAGTGTTTGGCTTTTTCAAAGTTTTCCAAGAAAAACAAGGACTTATAAATAAAAATGGTTTCTTATTTTTCCCCCATGTTTGTAAAAAAGTCTGGAAAAAAAAAATTTATGGGAAAAGGGACATGAATCACCAATTCAAATTCACCCAGAAATCCAAAATCACCAAAAAAAACTTGTCGAAATTATTTTGTAAAAAGAAATTCACTCAAATAAATATTTGAAATTTGTGAAAACAAAAAATTTTAATCACTGTTAAAAAAAAGTCCTTGTTCCCACTTTTTACCATTTTACCCATGATGCCAACCCCTGTTTAATTAATTGTAGTTCCCCAAGGGTACCTCCCGGTTTAAAGGTCCATGTTCCAGGAGCTGTTTCTTTAACAGGTTTGGTTTAGGGGCGGGAAAGCTGGCCGGTGCGGTCCATGCCCCCAACCATCAATAAAATTTCCTGTGTGTTATAAGTTTCTGTGTGCGTTACTATGGCAAGAAAGGTGAAGTAGCTCCATGTTATGCCAAATCTAATTTTATTTATGGCTTCCTTTATATACTTTAATGTCCCCGCTTTCCTCCTTTGTTTAGCTACAACACGTGGTGCTGGCCCACGTTGCCATGGGACTGTAGGAGCCCCCACTCCATAATTAAGCCCCTGCTAATGTGGGATAATATGTTTTAACATTTATGTGTGTCTGTGGTGTGTTATATGTTATTCCGGTGGGGGACTGGGATTTGGGCCCATTGTTGTTTTGTATGCATGGTTTTTTTTTTTTTGGGTTGGCTGTGTGTTTTTCCTTTCATGCCCCCTCCCCAGTAAGCCCCATGGTTTTACCCGGGGCAAACAAAAAACCCTAGGCCTGCCCACCTGAGTCGCCCCAATTCCAAAGGGGTGGTACCCTCCTGTGTCCTGGGGTGGGGGGACCGTAAATAATTTTAAATTAAAAGAAGGGCCCCATAATTTACCAGGAGGATGGAGGGGAGAGGGACGCGACCCACCGGGGAAGCAAAGGAACGCCGCCAGCGAGGGAGAAGGGCGAAGGGGCCCCGGAAAGGAAAAAGGACCCCAGCACGCCGCCCAGGCCCATAGCCCCACACACTTGGCACCCCCCCCACGGCTCTGGGAAACCCCCCCCCACCCCGCAACCACCCGACGAGAACTAAACACCAAGGGAGGGGCCAGGGCATTTGGGACCCTTTACCTGCCGGTTTGGAGTTTTTTGCTCGGGGTGTAGACGGTGGTTTTGTATGGGAAGCCCTGGGGCTGAAGGGGGGGGGATCATTGGGTGCTAGTGCGTGGCTGGGACCGTTTGTGTGTTTGTTACTTCGGGTAGTGTGCGACAGGGCTGGAGCTCGCCGCTGGACCCGGGCGCCCGTAGGAGGGGAGTGGAGGCGGCGGCAGCGTTCAAGACACAGAGAAAGGCGGAGAGACAACAAGGCACGCAGGAGCAAGTGACAGGACAGAGACACAGGACGCGCCGAGCGCAAGCACGCAAGCGCAGGAGAGGAAAAGCGCGGGCTCCCACCACAAGCAGGACCGAGCAGGTGGCACACGCATGGGATACAGCAGCTGAGCCGCAAGTGTTGCGAAGGCGATACACACGGAGGCAGGAGGTGGACTCTTGCCTTCCGTGTGTCTCAGCGGCGGAGAACGATAGCAGGGGAGGAGTCGAGACTAAAGGGGCGTTCCACACCGGACTTAAACTTCGGACGTCAAAAGCGTCAGGTTTCCATTGAAATTGAATGGTGAAGCGCCGCGCAGGGTGAAGACGGAGCCCCGGGTCACTTGACGCGCGGTCAAAAGCTTCAAAGAGTCGCGCGTACTACGCGCTACTTGAAGGCTTTTGAACGCTCGAAACCCACTCGGTATCACAACAATCCTTTGACGCCGAAGCTGAGCAATGCTGAGCTTTGAAGCTTTGAGCGGGCTTCAACCAATCAGGAGACGAGAGCAGCAGCACGATATAGAGGGTCTGTCTCTGTCATGAAGAGAAGTCATGCTGCTGCTGTTTTATTGGCATTATTGTTATTGTAAATATTATTTGTATGAGTAGTAACGTTCTGCAGTAACAAAATCATTGTACACATGCTGTGTCGTAACGTAGTTTATTTAAAATAAGAACAGGCTGACGATGAGTTGGCTCAGTGCAAGGCAGCTCCGGGGCGGGCGGAGAGGCCGGGGAGGCAGGAGCAGGCGGGGAGAGGCGGCGAGAAACCGAGGAGGGGCAGGGAGAGGCAGGGAGAGAGGAGAGGCAGGGAGAGGTGAGCGAGAAACCGAGGAGAGGCAGGAGAGGCAGGGAGAGGCCGAGAGCCGGGGGTTGAGGAAACTCAGGAATGGGAAAGTTGACATGCGAAGTACCGCTGAAAGCGAAACTCCTCGTACGCAGCTCCTGGAGTAAATGACCGTGCTCTCGCGCGCAAAACACTGCCAGCTCTCAAGTCTTGTGGTGACCCAGAAACATGTTTTGTTGAAGCCCTACAACAACGTTATTTTGCTTTATAAAACAATAAAGGCTCGCTGCCTCATTGAAACAATCCACCGCTGTCTGACTACAGGCAACAGAGAGCTTCTCCCACAGGCAACAGAGAAGCTCTCCACAGACAACAGGAAGCTCCTCCCACGCGTCAGGCGCGTCACTCGCGTCAAAAGCTTCAAGCACCAAAATGACAAAATATCCGGCGTCAGTTGAAGCGCGTCAAAGCTTTTTGACGTTTTGGTGCTGAACGCGCCTTAGATGAAGGAGTGTTGTGAGCTGAACACACGCAGGGGCAGAGGATAAACTCTGCCTTGTGTGTAGTATTGTAGCGACACTCCACAATCGTAGCCTAAGGCTTATAGTTTCGGACCCCCGTACTGGCGTATGTTTTGCATCTAGGTGGCCGGGTGCGTGTGGACCCAGGTTGGAGTGCTGCCCTGGACCAGGAGGGAGTGGGGACCTGCCTGCACCTGACCGTGGCTTTTAGTAGTTTTAACCTATTTTTAGCCACCTTCGTCTTTTTACTATATTTAACAGTGTTTTATTTGTGGCATTTTTTTTTACTTTTTTAAATTTTTAATGATAGACCTCCTCTCGCTCTCGCCCTTTGACCGACCTTTTTGTTCTCCTATGCGGTAAGACAAGGCTGTGCTCTTAACTCCCGGTCGACTCCAATCTCCTTTTTTTTGCAACATAGTTATTTTTTCCGGTCAATTTCATTCGCTTTAAACTCCTTTATAATCACCACCCCCCTCCCGTTACCATATAGCACTAGAACAGCCCGTTTCTGCTAAGCACATATAGTTTGCCTTTTCATTATAAAGTTCCACGTAACACCATTTATAGAGTTAGAGCGCCCCCTTGTGGGCTACGGTTGTAATGTCACTCATTGATTACAGTGTATCTGTGTTCATAGTCTAAAAGGCTGTTTTTAATAAACATTTGATCTTTTGTGTTGATTCCAGAAAAGCACAGATACACATCTTCATCACCTCCGTATACCTGCTGCTATACCCTCCTTAGTACCTGGATACTCCTCCTCAACCTGTAACCCTTTCATATGAAAGCATAAACCTCCCAATCCACCATCTACGTCTGCAATAAACCTGTTCCCTCCTCTTCCATAAACAACTGTACACCTGGAGTTTGCCTGTTCCTTCTGACCCAGAAAGACTCAGTTGACGTCGTATCCATTATCAGCTCATCCAGACACTCACAGTATTTCACCATCACAATATTATCCAATTGTCACATTTTTTCCAATTCCCAGCCCTAGTCTTAACCCTGTGCTGCAGCTGCTGAGCTTTACAGACCAAACACACACTTTCCTCCAGGTAGACCCATAATGAGCTCTTTAGCATCGTTTCCACAAAGATACTACACTTTTTATTCATGGTATCCACACATTACATTATAAATAATGTTATTGTAATAAATGTGTTTTATTTTGATTCTCTGGTTTTTAATGACCTGCTCACTCCAGTGGCTCTTTTATTCAGGTCCTACAACCGTTGCTTTTAATATAAATACATTTTAAATCTCCCTCTCGGACACAGACAAACATTGAGACGCATTTTCTGATGATTAAAAATACAATCAACCATCAATATTTCCATACAGTATCTGTGTTCACAACTGAGTTGCTAGCCATCTGGTGGGCTCTTGATTGCGTAGAGAGGAATAATTTAGAATCCTCTTATATTTATTCAGATTCAGTGTCTGCTTTACAGGCTATATCTGCTGGCCTGTCTGGGGCCCGAGCCGATATAATCTTGGAGATGTTGTGTTGCCTCCGTCGGCTTGAAGCAAGGGGATCTAGTGTAGTATTTCGCTGGATCCCATCTCATTCAGGTATAGTGGGGAATGAGAGCTGATACACTGGCTAAGCAGTCTCTTCTGTGTGAGGAAATAGAGTATAAAATCTGTTTGGGAAAATTAGAGTGTATAAGTATCATAAAAAGTGTTGTGCAAAATCAGTGGCAAAAAGTGTGGGAGAAAGAGAAAAGGGGGAGGCATTATTTTAATTCTCAGCCTCTGGTGCAAAATATTAGGCCTGTGTGGATATCTAGCCGGGCAAATCAGGTAAAGATTGTTAGATTGAGGCTGGGGCATTGTGGGCTAGCAGCATATTTGGAAATCATTGGCAAGCATCGTGATGGATTATGTCAGTGTGGTCAACCTGAAACGGTGCCTCATGTGTTATTGTTTTGTGCTCTATACTCAACAGAAAGACAGATTATGTACAAGCAGCTGTCAGATCTTGGATTAGCAGTATTTTCATTAAAATCTATATTTTCCTCGGTAAAGAATTCGTGTTTGATCGACAAAGCAGTTGTATCCTTCCTTCTCTCCACCAGTTTGTACCAACGAGAGTAATAATGTAGTATCAACCTGAACGGAAGAGGGCAGCATTACACTTCTATAGTGTACAGCCTGCCGGAAATAAATGAAGAAGAAGAAGAAAGAAGCCTCCCTCAGTTTTTGCCTAGCGTCTGAGGAGGTGGGTCACGTTTTTACACTCTGCATGATTTCGGTTTGAATAATTAGAAAACTTTGAATATCCAAATTAAAATGTTATTTCTGTAGTCCATGTGAGGACGTGTTTTACAGCGCTCCGTGGCGGGGCACATGTTTTTCATTATTTAATAGCTTCAACACTCGTTAAAACTCTTTTGGGCTGAAGGAACATGTCAGTGAACTATATGGACGTGATTTCCTGAAAGTTTACAACTTTGACGGCGAGAAAAATGACCAAAAGAAGTGGTAAAGAGCAGGCCACGAAAGCCTCGAGCTCGGAGTCCCTGTTGCTGGGGCCGCAGCCTCCGGACATGACAGTGGTGATGGAAGCTATAGACCCATTCACAGCCTACGTCATCAAGAAGCTGCGTGCGCATTCGGGAAACGGAAGTACCGCGGCGGATCGTTTACCCGGTATTGTATACATACCACTAGAGGAAACAGGAAAAGTTTAACGCTGAACAGTCGCGGTTAAAATGTCGGGTTGTTGTGTTTATGGTTGTTCAAACCGAAATACTCAACCGGGGCTAAAGTTCTACCGTATACCAAGGGGCTCTCGGCCGTTTCAGAGCAACCGAAGGCGGCTGTGGCTTCAGGCTATCAAGCGGGAGGATTGGACCGAGGACACCATCAAAAATGCACGCATCTGCGGTGCCCATTTCATATCAGGTACGTGTGGTTTTCATAAATAACAGTTTGAAAAGCATGTACTCGCAATGTGATGCTGCCAAACGTGAATATACAGTATAGTGGCTAAAAACAAAACGTGTGTGTGCAGGAGAAGTGTCGCTGGACTGGCAAAGTCCTGATTTCGTGCCTTCAGTCTTTGTGTACACCAAACAACGCCAGAGACCCGAGGCAAAGATGGAAAGGTATAGACAACTAGGCTAATATATCTCAATGCTTTGGCCCCTCTTTATTTTTTTTACGTGTTATGCCCTTCAATTGCCAAAATATCTAATATTTTTTGACGCTAGCTTTGAAATACTGACGTATAAAAGGCAGGTGCAGTGCAAATGTTTATCCACAAGGAGTCTACAATGTAAGTTATTGTTGTTGTAGATACCATCGGAAAAGGAGGAGAGATGACAGGACAAACAAGTCACCAGTTCAACCTGGTCCTTGTGACATTCCAGAAGAGCAAGGAGAATCCAGCATGGAACACTGCCATGGTAAAATATTTTTCTTATAATTAACTGATTGTAAGAGATTCAATGGTTGTGAAATTTAAGGAAAAGTTAAGTAATTAAAAACAAAATTCCAGGTCTGAAAATGGTTTTGGTCCGACAAACAGATAACTACAGAATCTGGTTTCATTAAACTGTTGGAGCCCAAGGACCAGGTTTTAGCAGAAAGGGGGTTTCTTATAAGAGATCAACTTGCAGCTCATGGTGCAACTCTTGGTATTCCTCACTTCACAAAAGGAAAGAAGCAACTCTCTGCAAATGAAGTAGACCCATCTCGACAGCTTTCTCGTGTTAGGATTCATGTTGAGCGAGTCATTGGTCGGTGGAAGAGCTTTAAGATTTTGCAAACTGTAATACCTGTGTCACAAGTGAAATTGTTAGATGATATTGTTGTTGTGTGTGGTGCCCTGACAAACTTGTGTAAAACTGTTGTTCCAAAATAAGTAACTACTGAAAAACTGTACAAAGAAAGGATTCTAGAACATTTTAGAACATTTAGTTTGCAGCTCTAAATTGTCATTGTACTGTATATATATTTTTGTATTTACTTCTTGTGTGCTTCTATAATAATCCTGTTTATTTCAAAATGAAATGTACTATTTGTAATGTATTGATTTGCCAAAGTGCATCAATGAGTAGACAGCAGTCAATAACAATAAATAACATCAAGTGTAATTCTTATGAAATGATTTATTTTGAAACAAAGTTGACATGTTGCCAGGTAAAGCCAGAACATAACTAATGGCAAGAGCTTTTTTATCATCCATATAAAACAAAAGTAACTACTGGCACTAAATGTATTTTACATGTATATATTCATTGTTTTCAGTTAAAGTGCATCAACAAACCCCCAAATTAGCAAAGGAAATCACTGTAAAAAGCAGTGTGCCATTTTTTACTAAGATTTTTAAACATCCAAATGATTAATTCCAATAAAATATATAACAATATATCTACAAAAAATGTGACTGTCTGAAAATATGAATCGATTTGACTTACTGATTGTTTTATTCAAATGGATTGTTTGGCCCAGCCCTACTAATGGAATTTGTCATTCAGGCCTCAACTCAAGCATTTCCCACAGGACCATGTAGCTGGCTTTCTTTGGATTTTAGCACAGCTGTAGTGGAAATAGTTTTGGCATCGGACACAGCTGATCATTTTGCCAAAATCTGGCCTTTCACACACCTTGCAGGCTATCCGAGAGTCCAAGGCAGGGTCATGTCTTCTTGTCAGGAGTTCAGGCAACACTCTTGAGATGAAAAAGGCTTGTGCCTTCAGCAAGGTCTCTTGCAGAAACAATTAGTTCACCCTTTGACCACAACACAAAGTCACAATAGTCTACGTCACACACAAACATATGGAGCTGGGTCTGGTAGTAGTATGGGTGGGATTGTTTTAAAGCGTACGATTTGTCCAAACAAAACTGTCTGTCTTGTGTGCATCCATGAAAGTTGTGACAGTATTTCAATTTGGAGAGACGAGAAAACAAGAAGCTTTTGAGTATTTTAATGAGAGGTGGTTTGGCGCCCTAGGCCCCGGTGCGGCCTTCAGATCGGAGAGGCTCCTGCGATGGAGCGTGCCAATCCCCAAAAAGGCTGTGAGTTGATGGAGTTTTGCAGCCTGGTTTGGAGGGGACAGAACGTCGAGACTGCTCTATGCTGTGACCGCTATCGCTATGCTGTGACCGCTATCGCTATATACTGTGACCGCTATCGCTATATACTGTGACCGCTATCGCTATATACTGTGACCGCTATCGCTATATGCTGACGACCATCATGCGCTAACCATTTTTTGCTATATACTGTGACCGCTATCGCTATATACTGTGACCGCTATCGCTATATACTGTGACCGCTATCGCTATATACTGTGACCGCTATCGCTATATACTGTGACCGCTATCGCTATATACTGTGACCGCTATCACTATATACTGTGACCGCTATCTACTGTGACCATTACTTGCGGATACTCAGCTGCTGCCGCCACCAGGAAGTTTAGCGAGTGTTTTATGGAGATGCCAAAAGCCGCTGGGCTGCCAGAATGGTCGAAGTGTCAGGCCTGATGTATGAGGAGAGGGCCGATGATGACCAGCGGCCCAGCTGCTGGAGGGCGGAATGGGGGAGCCCCAGGGACGCGGCGCGCGTGGCGGCGCCTATCCGGAAGGAGTGGGCTGTGTAGAGATGGGGAGACAGGTTACAAGCAGCAGTACGGACTTGAGTTGGGCTCTGAACCAGTTGGATGACATTGGGAGGTTATCGAGAGTAAGAAATAACGGTCCGTTGAGATCTCCTTTCCGAGAGCGGAGGCGAGTGTAATGCGTCATGGATCTGTAGGGACAGGGAGAAGTGTCAGACCGAGCTATGACTATATTGCAAGCGCCTTTGCGTTTGGAATGCTTGAGGTGGAGGTTGAAGTAGTCGGGATAATATGACAGGTCAGAGAAGGCAATGTCTCGGGATGCATTAAAGGTGGCGTGAGAGTTTGTGAATTCGCTTATGCGTAAGAAGCCCATTTTCATGTAGGATGCAGCGGAGGAGAGAAGGTGAAGAGACGGAGGGACTAGACCAGGGCGAGGGATTCCGTGCAGGGGATCTGGCACGGCGATGGATTGGCAGAAGGGCAAAGGCGTCAGAACTCCTGGAATTTAAGCGAGAGAGAGAGTCAGCAAGACAGTTAGGTGACGAGGGACGTGACGCGCAGTGATGATAAATTGTTCAGGACTGAGAGCCATGTGATGCGTCTAAGGAGGATGTGATTTGGGGAGAGGATGAACGACCTCTGTTAATTATTTCAATGACGTCAAGGTTGTCGCACGTCACGGAAATCCTTTTCCTATGCCAGGTATGGTTCCGCAGCACGCAGGCTACGGTCACGGGATATATCTCGTGGAGCGCGGAGGAGATGCTTCGAGGGAAAGCGTCGGGCCGGGGCCCGGCGAACCACTGGTCCTGGAAGAACCCCCAAAACCCACGGACGGGGCTGCGTCTGTGAAGAACCGCGGGGCATCTGGGACAGGATAACGTCACTGTAAAAAAAAAAGAGATACACCATCCCAGCGGCTCTGCAGACGGGACCGGAACGCCAGGTCGGAGCGGCGCCCCGCGTCCGGGCAGACAGCGTCATTGAGGGAGGAGACGGAGCCGGCGAGGGAGAGGAGTCTGGAATTAAAAGAACGACCTTGGGGAATGATACGGACGGCATAATTAAGATGCCCGAGGAGGGAGAGCAAGGATGCCTCGAAGTGACGGGAAGGCCAAGGCAGACCGGGAGAAAGCGCGGATGCATTCGAGCCTGTCCAGCGGGAGGGAGGCCTCCATGGCGCGTGTGTCGAGGCGGATGCCGAGAAACTCCAGAGCGTTGGCGGGGCCTGTGGTCTTTCCGGAGTGGAGGAATCCGAGGGCAGAGAAGGCGGGCCTGAGCTTGCGGAGAGAGCCCCCGGAGCAGTCTGAGGGTGGGTTGATTACGAGGGAATCATCGGGGAGATGCGGGACAGAGGGGAGCCGCGCGTAATTAAGCAGAATCCGACACGGCGCCTCCGAGAGATTGTTGAACGAGAGGGACTACTCCGGCAGTCAAAGGTGAGGCGCACTGCGAAGAAGAACTCCGACGCCGCTTGACCCCTGAACAGCGCCAGTGGTCGGGGTGGATGGCAGCAGCTTGAACGCGTCCGGGATGACGGCCTTGGAGAGCCAGGAGCCGGGGCCGAAAGTCTTTATCAGCCTGACCGCGTGGTCCACGGTAGCGGACCGCAGGGAGAAGGGCGCCGGAGGGAAGGGGCTGTTGATGCTCGGGCGGGCCCGGAGCGGGGACAGGAGAGGACGAGTATGAGACGCTTCTTCCTGGAGTGCATGCGGGTGGCGATGCCCATCGGGTTAGAGCGAGACGGAGAGAAGGGGCCAATGACGTTGCCCACGGACACCTCCCGCGCCCGAGCCGCGTGCCGACTTGGGGCTCATGGAGAGCCGGGAAGAGGTTGTGGGACACGAGACGCCGAGGGACCTAAACAGAGCTTGCAGTCTAATGTGAGGGATTTAATAGAGCTTGCAGTCCAAAGTGAGGTAGTAAAACTGAGCCCGCATTCCAAGTGAGGCGTTTAACGGAGAGCTTGCAGTCTGGTGTGAGGGAGTTAAACGACCTGTAGTCCGAGGTGAGGGATTAAACTGAGAGCTTGTAGTCCAGAGTGAGGGATTCAACATTGCCCGCAGTCCTAAAGAGGGATTTATAACTGAGAGCTTGTAGTCCAAGTGAGGGATTAAACCGAGAGCTGCAGTCCAGTGTGAGGGATTTAAACAGGTTTTACGGTCCAAGTGAGGGATTAAGTGAGCCCGCAGTCCAAGTGAGGAGTTTAAACTGAAGCTTACAGTCCAGTGTGAGGGATCCAACAGAGCCTGCAGTTTTTTATTTTTATTTATTTATTTACTTTATTTATTTATATTTATTTATATTTATTTATATTTATTTATATTTATTTATATTTATTTATATTTATTTATATTTATTTATATTTATTTATTTTTATATATAAGCGTTCCAGATATAAGCAGTACCATATATGCAGTTCCAATATGAGCAGTTCCATATGTAAGCAGTTCCGTATATAAGCCGTTCCATATAAAAGCAGTTCCATATAAAGCAGTTCCATATATAGCAGTTCCATATATAGCAGTTCCATATATAGCAGTTCCATATATAAGCAGTTCCGCATGAAGCAGTTCCAGGTACGGTATAACAGTTCCAGATATAAGCAGTTCCAGATATAAGCAGTTCCGTGAGGGATTAACCTGAGAGCACGCAGTCCAATGTGAGGGATTCAATTTGGGAGCCGCAGTCCAAGAGGGATTTAAACGGGGCTTGCAGTCCAAAGAGAGGGATTAAAACTGAGAGCACGCAGTCCAATGTGAGGGATTAAACTGAGTAGTCCAATGTGAGGAATAAACGGAGCTTGCAGTGAAGGATTTAACGGAGCTTGGTTAAAGAGAGCCTGCAGACCAATGCGAGGGCTTTAAACTGAAGCTTGCCCACCAATGCACGGGGCCAACTGAGCCTGCAGAACAATGCGAGGGGAATAAACCGCCCGCAGATCTCATACTTACCCACAACGCCAGAAGACAAGGGACAACACAACGGGACCACGCCGTACCGGCACGAGGAGGCAGGGATGCGCACGGCTCCCACCGCACCGGTCCAGACCGGCCGTATGCAGCAGCAGGCCGCGACGAGGCGAGCAGCGGCGAACCCGCAGAAAGAGCCCGCAAAGGAGGAGAGCGGCAAAGACCCACGGACCACAGCACGAGACCCGCAGCAGGTGCAGCGACGCGGAGGAGGAGCAGACCACACGCAGCAAGACAGAGGACAGCAGGGACCGCAGGAGTAAGCGTGAGTAGACAAAAGCGATTCCTCCAGAACGATTCATTGCAAGGCTTCGAGAAGGCCGAGAGTGGGAGTTTCTCCGCTTTTAAGCGGCTGCCTGGCCGGTATGGGTGATTGGAAGGGGGCGTTTGCTGTGCGATAGGCTGGGGATGCGAACCGGCCTGGAGGGGGTAACTTTGGCTGACGTCTACCAAATTGAATTTCCGCGGGCTGCATTTGTATGGACACTTTATTTCGACCACACCTTTGCCGCAGCAGGTGCAGCTAGCTATGCCATCTGATGATGAGCCAAGGTGTGGCTCAGAAGGAGGCACTACTAAGCCACAGGACCTTACACTGAATTCTGCATGACTTTTAGCCATGAAAACAGTGTATGCTTGTCGTGCCGTTTCCTCCATGTTTCGTCCCCACACCACAGGTGGGACATTTCATGTTTGTGTGCTGTAATGCATTATATCCATCAAATATGTTTCGCTAATCTTGTCAGTTGTGGATGCATGATGAAATTTGGTGCTTGTGATCCGACCAGCCCTATGGATGTGCCACTCCCTTGACTTTGATTGTTGCCGGGTAACAGATTCCAGTCTTTCCCACTGATGAGGCTGTAGTTTAGTTTTTAGTCTGTTAAATGTCTCCTTGCTTTTATCCTGTAATTCCTGAGGTGATAGGTCCCTGTTTGATGCATTAAATAAAGCAGTCAAGGGCTCAGGTAAGCCTGGATGCTCCTCTTCATCATTGTCAGATGATGCAGTATCTGTGTCTCTGTTCTCCAGACTTGTCACCACAGAAGCATCTGGTGCCACAGTCCGCAGCTCCTGTATGTCCTCATCTGTCAGCACTGATAGTGACAAAGAGCAACATAAAGACAATTATTATGCTGAATAATATCCACATTTTAAAGAGTGAGGAGAGCATTTAAAAGGTAGGCTTCCAGGCTGCCCAATGGAAGGGGAGACTCAAATAATCTGTCATTTGCCATTAGAGGTGGTAGACCAATGTATATGGAGAAATAAATGTTAAATGTGTGTGTGAACTGTGCTCCTGGTAAAAGCTAGTCTGGAGCCCCAGAAACATACATAAAATGTGAAATCTAGCCTTTATGAACTAATCCATGCCTCTGGGTGTGATGATGTTCTTCTGAGCGATTTCTGAAGCTGCTGGAAACTTTCTGGCTAGCGTCTTTGGTTTGTGGAAGCTTATTTCACTCAGTGGAGCTGGCTTGACTTCTTTCCTACTCTGTTTCCACATGCACATGTGGCAAAGTGGAGGCTGCTACGCGCTCCTTAAATAATATGACAATATAAATGAGAAAGAAACCAGCAACGCCAGGGCAAAGTGCCCAAAATAAAATAAAAAGCGCTCTAAGGCGCACAGGTTCGTAATCATAATTGAGAGGCATAGACATTACGTTTACTTTGATTTATTAAGTTGTGATAGTTTTCTCTTTAGGTTTCACACGTTGTCACATTTCCTGTCGCAAAGGACTCAGGGGTACAGGTGAACAACACCCAACATGGTGAGAAACGAGAGACAGCAGGAGAAACAGCAGGAGAAACAGCAGGAGAAACAGCAGTGGGCCGCGGTGTGGCCAGTCCTCAGCCTACGAATTAAAGTAGAGTTAAATTATCATAACCACAATGCTGTCAGTGTGTGCAGCTAAGACCTACATTTCCACAGCCAACACTGAGCGCGCACTCTTGACGAGTAGCGGTTTACAGGCCCAGACCAACAGCCGGCTACGACGCACTCGGACCCCAGCAATGAGGGCGGCCAGACGCCAAAGCGACTGGACAGTGTGGCCGTGCACAAAGAGGACTCGCGGGGCACAATGCCACACCGCGGCACTACAACAACAAGTCAACATTAGTGGCTGAATCTTACAATTATTAGAATTGACACTAAAACTACTACCTGGAGCAGGAGAAGGGCTGGCGCGACGACACACAAGAGACGGAAGTGCAGAGGTAAACAAAAGACGTAAATCTAGGCTATTTATACTGGGCGTAGGCGCCCTCTACTGGACAGAAATATGGTGGCCAAGTCCAGCTTGCCACATTCATCCCCCCAAAGTTTTGACGACGCCCCGACGTCAACTAAACTCACACACAACTCTCAAATATAGCGCTATCACTCATACATGAACGTTCCTGACACACGCATCTAAAAGCTAAAAACCGGTCTACGTGGGTTTGAGCCACTAAAAGACCACGCAGCGCTAAGCTTAAAACAAACTAAAAACACATCAGTGGCAGCCACCGAGCATAACGCAACTGGATGATCACTGTTCCAATTCTAATGCCGTGAAGGCGAGAAAAGGAGGCCCTGAAGGCTTTGAAAATCCACTGCAAGTTTCTCATACTCAAGCCTACCTGCTGCACACGGAAGTACTCCCTGACCACACAGGTAAACAGGTGCGCCTTAATTAAACGCCAAGTGAGGCATCCTTAATCTCACTACACCACTGCTGTCTGGGATTACGCCACAGGAGCCTCCGAGTTACAGGTGTGCAGGTTCCACTAGGCTTCACGGGTGACCATCTGAAATCCCGTCTCATCTCTCCGCAACTATACTGCTCCAACCACCGCTGCTTCTCCTTCACAAAACACAGAATTTACAACAGTAGTGCGACACATTACAGCAACACCAGACAGATAGCATAGCAAAAGTTCACATGTGAGGGTTTTAGCCGTGTCATTTTATGGCTGTGTTTAAATTTAAAACAAAGACCATGCACAAATCAAAAGCACACAAAAAAAGCACATCAAAACAAAGAAAATAATAAAACACAAGACAAAACAATGACAGGTTTTAAGTCACATAAAAAACGCTAATGCTACTGAAATTGGCTACAAAGAACAGAGTACACTATGCCTCATTTTAACGATTATCCTGCCAGCAACGGCAAGTGTGGCAAAGTGGAGGCTGCTACGCGCTCCTTAAATAATATGACAATATAAATGAGAAAGAAACCAGCAACGCCAGGGCAAAGTGCCCGAAATAAAATAAAAAGCGCTCTAAGGCGCACAGGTTCGTAATCATAATTGAGAGGCATAGACATTACGTTTACTTTGATTTATTAAGTTGTGATAGTTTTCTCTTTAGGTTTCACACGTTGTCACATTTCCTGTCGCAAAGGACTCAGGGGTACAGGTGAACAACACCCAACATGGTGAGAAACGAGAGACAGCAGGAGAAACAGCAGGAGAAACAGCAGGAGAAACAGCAGTGGGCCGCGGTGTGGCCAGTCCTCAGCCTACGAATTAAAGTAGAGTTAAATTATCATAACCACAATGCTGTCAGTGTGTGCAGCTAAGACCTACATTTCCACAGCCAACACTGAGCGCGCACTCTTGACGAGTAGCGGTTTACAGGCCCAGACCAACAGCCGGCTACGACGCACTCGGACCCCAGCAATGAGGGCGGCCAGACGCCAAAGCGACTGGACAGTGTGGCCATGCACAAAGAGGACTCGCGGGGCACAATGCCACACCGCGGCACTACAACAACAAGTCAACATTAGTGGCTGAATCTTACAATTATTAGAATTGACACTAAAACTACTACCTGGAGCAGGAGAAGGGCTGGCGCGACGACACACAAGAGACGGAAGTGCAGAGGTAAACAAAAGACGTAAATCTAGGCTATTTATACTGGGCGTAGGCGCCCTCTACTGGACAGAAATATGGTGGCCAAGTCCAGCTTGCCACACACAGACCAGAAGTAACGGCTGCTTTCTCCGTCCTTCCCATTCGAACACAGAGCTGTATTTTGAATAGAATCGCAGCTGCATGGCTGCAGCATGATGCAAGACTGTAATGTAAACAGACATAACATGTATATAGCCTTCTCCAATACATACTGTAAGTTACCATTACAAACAGGGCTCGAAAATAATAATAAAATACAATATTACCTAGATGTTTATAGTTTCTAAATGAATAAACATTCTTGAATGTATCCTGACCAAGTTCTACCAGGTTCTGAGAATGAAAACCATTTGCCTTCTGAAAAAACAGCTGCCAGCTTACTGACCCTGCCATACAGGTGCAGTTTGCTGTGAGTATGTAGTTCTCGACTTTGTTGATAATCACCCAAGCCTCATACATTATAGTCTTGTGCCCTTGCCTTTGGCTGGGTAGTATTTCAGACTTTAGGACACAAAAATCTTCATCGATGTTGCGATATCTCACCTCCTGTACATGTCCGCAAATTACGTAGTCATACGCATCAAGAGATTTGTTTGCTCGCAGCTTCTCTAGTGTGTACACGCTAGGTTTTTCAACCAAATACAGGTAAATATCGGGCCACTTACTAACGTCATGTTCCCATTCAGTCACAGTACAAGGATCTGGGAGCCGCCATTTGTTAAAGTGAGCTTTTTAAAGTACGCTTTGTGATCTTTCATTGATAACGCACCGGCGTAGTTTGACAAGCCGCCGCTAGTCTCCACACTCGTTGCCAGGATGAACGCGCAGCCGTCTTTGTTTATCAACAGTTAATTGGTCTATAGTAACCTATAATACAAATGATACATCATTTTAAAGCAAACGACAAGGCGAACGCAACTATTGGGTACTCGGTGACGCGCTCGTCAATCACCTCGACATCATGAGGTCACCCCCCCTTCCATAGGACCCCATTCATTACACTGTGTACTACAGCAGGAGCAAAGCCATTCATTCCGTTGTGTGCAACTTCTACAGAGGGACTGTAGAGAGCATCCTGACCAGCTCCATCACTGGGTGGCACGGCACCGGCACTGGCTCCAGCGCATCGTGAGAGCAGCAGAGAAGATCTGTGGAGCCCCTCTCCCCACAATTAAGGACATGTACTCCACCCGTCTCACCCGCAAAGCCGTCAGAATCACCAGGGACCCTACGCACCCATCACACAGGCTCTTCAGGGTAATGCCTTCAGGGAGGAGACTGCAGAATTTACGGAACAGTTCCAGTCGACTTAAAAACAGTTTAATTCACAAGGCCATCAGGAAGCTGAACTTCCTTGGGTGTTGGACGAGGGGGGGTTGGAGGTGGATGGGTGTTAGGGGAGGGGCAGGAGTTGGGAGATGGACGAGGGGGGAGTGTTGGTGGAGGGGTTCTTGGTGATGGGCAAGGGGGGAGGTTGGAACGAGGGGGGGTGGGGGTGGGGCTGGAATGGTTTTGGGGTTAGGGGAGGGACTGGTGGATTTTGCGGGTGAATTTGAGTTAGAATTTGAGGGACAGGTGGATTTTGTGGGAGAATTTGAGTTGGAATTTGAGGGACAGGTGGATTTTGTGGGAGAATTTGAGTTGGACGCCCTAGGTGGCTTTGGAGGAACGTATGGGGAGTAGTTATGAATGTTAGATAGGACTCTTGATCTGGCTACAGTGGGTGTGAGAGGAATAGTCTTCATCGCTGTTCTTATCATGCCTGCAGAGTGTTCCGGTAATTCCAGTAGTGATGGAAAACACAGGGAAAGGTCGTCCTCATGTTCCTTAGATGGAGTGGATGGCGGGGGGGGACCCAAACCGGGTCCATGGAAGGTGATGAGGGAGTCTTTGGTGGAGACGGACGTGGTTGAGAGGCCCCCAGTGCAGGCCTGTCTGTAGCCTGGAGCAATGGGGGGGGCTTCACGGGAGCTGTAGGTGGGGAAGGTTCTGCTGAAGATGATGCAGCAGCCACAGCTGCTGCTGGTGGTGCTGATGCTGAAGGCGCTGATGACGCTGTGGCAGCCACTGCTGCTGCTGGTGGTGCTGATGCTGAAGGTGCTGATGATGCTGTGGCAGCCACAGCTGCTGCTGGTGGTGCTGATGCTGAAGGTGCTGATGACGCTGTGGCAGCCACAGCTGCTGATGGTGGTGCT